AAAGCAACTGAGTTTAAATAAGAAAAATAACTTACGGATCGTCCATGAAATCATAGATCTCTCTCATAGCTACTCCTCCCACATTCACATAAAAGACAAGTCGCAGCAGGACCAAGTAGTGTTCTGGAGGCATCCACAGGACAAATTTCAAGTAAAATGTGTTCAACTCTGCCAATAAAAACTGACACATACCATTCAACCACTTAGGAGATTTCCTCTTATTCAAACCTAAAATATGTCACAATTCTTCAAAGTGTATAAATTTGAATGCATGGAATGTCTTGCCAAAGAAATACTATCAAAGTTAACAAAGTAGTGTTTCCATAAAACAATTTAAAGAAATAAAACTGTATTTTTAGTCATTATCCCCTATTTCTTGGATGCTGCTGTTTCCCTATTCTTATCTATTATAGAATGGAAATTTGATAAAATGACCAGGTACTACAATGTCCAAATGAGAATGTGGTTGTCCGTGCAGCAATTACTGATGTTCTATATTCAAAATTATGGAAGTGAATTGTTAGAATAAACATAATTATTCAATACAAAGTTACAAACTCAATACCTCACATCATACTATTTTAAGAGTCACTTCCTTTATACAGATTCAAAAGATCAAACTTTAAAACAAATGTATTCAAGCAATAAAATCAGATCATCATTCAAGAAGACTAATTTTGACAAATGCAGAAAAATGTTCTTTACTTCCTTTCTTTTTTCCCCAGATAAAAGTTTGCATTTGATTAAACAGAGAATACCAAGCACAGTCTTGTCTATAACTACAGAGTCAGAATTACCTTTTCTTCCCTACCAGTTTTCCTATCTACCAATTATGTGCACATGTGAACGAACTGCTTTTGATGGAGAGGGTTTCCACTTCCCGTGGTCTGTATTATCAGGGAATAATTTTCTTACAGTATAATAAATATTGAAATAAAATGTGTTTCTTGCATGTGAACACTCATCCCTTAGCCTATACAATTTATATGTCGTTTAGTATTTATAGAGTCTTCTAAATTAAATGGGACTATCACGACCTCTTCCTTCCTTTTCTTTACTTCGCTCTTAGCATGAAAGCAGGAATTCTGCAAGATAAATTGTATTTTTATTATGTCAAACTTAGGGAGTCTGTGGGAAAAAGCAAGAAATCTGTTTACAGTATTTTGAAAATAAAAACTGTTTGAAATACTTATATTAGTTCATTGAAAGAAATTATCCTTACAATAAAAATAATGCCACACACTGCTAGCCATCTGCGAAGGCTGGATGCTGGCTTCCACTCAAATTTAACCCAACTGTATGGTGTGAATTGAAAGGCAATTCTCTTCATTTTACCTCTGGAAGGGAAATTAAAAATATCTCATGTTAATTTTTTAAAAACTTTCTATTAAATAAAGTGTGATGAACAAAAACATTGAAAATGTTAAAATAGCATAAATAACAACCCAGAAGTAATGCAGAAACTAAAATATAAAAACAAAACAAAAAAGATTTGGGAATATACAGAAGTATTTTTGTAATTTAAGAAATAAAACAATACTTTACACAACTATGTTCAAATTTCTACCCCAAAAGACATTTGTATAGATGGTAATAATCCATAATTAGCCTATTTATTTATTTCATTTCATAGTATTTATGAAACTGTTATAATTATTAATTTATCCTAAATTAAAACCTATCTGTATCCAAATAAACTGGGTACCTGACTTCAAATTAAGCAATTTAAGATTCATTAGCATAAACACTGATAAAAGTTATAATATTTGCATTTTTCTGCCTTAGAAATAAAATTTTATAACTGAACATACTTATATGTGGGAATATTCCAAAGTCCTTGCCATTTATATGTTTTCAAAGAAAGCCACCCCAAAGTCTTCATTCCGCAGTAAATGCCAAGTCCATTACATAAGATTACATCCATAATCCACTACAAATAATAATAATAATAATAATTTAATGATCCATCAAAATCTGTGACTATAGCAATAATGGTGCTGCAATTTCTATACATATTATGCATACATTATACAGAGACAGAGAGAGAGAGAGAGAGAGAGAGAGAGAGAGAGAGAGAGAGACCTTATAAAATACTAAATAGCACTTCAAAATATCAATTATATATAACCAATATTTTGGCAAAACAGATGGCTTCTTAGCCCATAAAATGATTTCATCTATAGAATTAGCATGTTATCTTCTCAACAGAAAATGATAAAAAGAACTTCATCCTACTCATTTTTCAGTTTTCCATCCATTAGTCAGTTTATTTTCTATATTAACCAGCTAAGATATATATATACATATATATATCCTCAATTTTTAGTTATAAAATTTGGGTTGGCCTAACAATTTTTGTCAAGACATATAATCTGTTCTGTCCTAGACTTGCCCATTTCACTTCATATTTGATTCTTTCCTTGCTGATTTTTTTGTTCAGTTCAGAATGCATCATTTAACAAAAATTAAACTTTTATTTATAAATTTCATTATTATTGTTATATTAACATACGAATAATGACTAGCGCAAGATCTCCAGCTGGTTTTGTGTCTAAGGTGAGATTACAACTCACAGATGCCTTAACTACTACAGTAGTCCTTGACTTATGAACATTTGTTTAATGATAGTTTGAAGCTACGACAGTGCTGAAAAAAGGTAGCTTATGACTGGTCCTTGAAGTTACAACCATTGCATCACCTCTGTGGTTATGTTGTCGCGATTTGCAACCTTCCCAGCTGGTTTCCAACAAGCAAAATTAATGGGGGAAGCTGGATTCACTTAACAATTGCATTATTTATTTAATACCAGATAATTTTCTTAACAAGCATGATGACTAACTTAATCACCACCACCAAAAAAAAAAGTAATAGTTGTCAAATCGGGTCTGGTCACGTGATGACAGAAGTGTGACTGAAATTCTGGTTCCAATTGTGATCATAAGTTGGGGACTACCCAAACTGGCTCTCAGGTTCATGTGTATCTTACATAAAATTAGAAATAAAAGAAATTGCAGATCATTTTCATGAATCCGAGGATATCAGAGTTCAATGCTAGATGATCCCTAGAAAGAAGAGTCTGTAACAAATTACTCTTGCCAAAGTTATTCATATTTAATTGGTAACTAAACCCTATGAAATGACTTTTTGAAAAATGAATTTGCATCACTATATGCCAAACAATTAATGAGAGTAATTAATACTTACATGATCCCACCAGCATTCACTGAAATTTGGAAGCTGATGTTCTAGACTGTACTCCAGAAACTCAAACGTTACACTGATAATCATGCACATCCACCAATCCCGAATCATTAGCGTCTAAGCAAATTATGAAAGAAGAAAGTTATTCTGCAGATTAGTCCAAATTTGCATTACCCAATATTGAAGAAAAAAATAAGAAAAAAAGTCTCACTGACATTTAACTTGTGAATAGGAGTAGTAAAGGCTTACCATTGTTTTCAAGCATTATATATCTGTACTAATTTATGATATTTAAAATAAAAATCAATATTCATTCTCATGTGCAATACAACATATCATTTAATAAACTTATTAAGCAATTTCCTTGCCGGTGTTTTTCAAATGCTACTTTCCCCAATTCTTTGCATTTTTATATGCATGGTTCTGATGGCAAAGGATAATAGTATTCTGATTCATGTATTAAGTGAAGAAGTATAAATTAAGAAACCTGGTGTTAAAATGTGAATCAAATTATTTTTTCCCAGCTTTGTTTATAATAAATTGTAGATAGAACACCAGGTTCCAGTAGTCCTTTGAAGATGAGAACAAAGGTTCTCAAAAACATCTGTAGCACAAAATATTGAGTTTACTTTCAAGTAGGAACTTAAAATTACTCAATTGAACTATACATACAGGTAGTCCTCGAATTATGAGCACAATGGAGCCCAAAATTTCTGTTGCTAAGCAAGATAGTCGTTAAATGAGTTTTGGCCCATTTTACAACCGTTATTGCCATAGTTGTTAAGTGAATCATGGCAGTGGCTAAGTGGATCATTTGGTCATTAAGCAGAATTGGCTTCTCCTATTAACTTTGCTTGTGGGAAGCTGGCTGCGAAGGTCACAAATGGTGATCATATGACCCCAAGATCGTGGAACCGACACAAATTCTGATCATGTGACCACGAGGATGCTGCAACGGTGGCAACTGTGAAAACCAGTCATAAGTCACTTTTTCAGTGCCACTGTAATTTCAAAGAGTCACTAAATGAATGGTAGTAAGTTGAGGACTACCTGTATACCTGAACTGGTTTTTCTGTCAGCAAAAGCAACTAGAGTAGCCTTCATAGAGGCATTACAAAGTTATAGTTAATAATGAGTAGAAGTTCTAAGACTAAAATAAATTTGAGTAATTATCAAGACAAAAGATATGAACACACAATCTACAACTTCTTAGCAATAATTACAAAGCAGGACTGCTTCATTTCTCTGTTCAATATAATATATTTTGTATATTAAGAGGGAAATAGTGATGCATTTATTTGTCCATTAGTTTAATCTTAACATAGCTAAAAATAGCTTAATATCTTAACTGATTAAGATTTAAAGCTATTCAACAGTAAAACAGAGGTTTACTGTCTGAAACTTATTTTAAAAAGAATTTTGATGACCAGTGATAATCATAAAGAATAAGCAGCACTTGAAGTACTGCCAACCAATTAGAGTTCAGAACTACAGGAAGTAATTAAGCAAAGAAAGGGCCAATTCTCACCTTTAAGTACCAACCAAGGAAATGAGCAGGAACAAATCCATCTAGTTTATCCTGTAATTCAAGTAGATTATACAGATTAGAGTTACTTTCTATGTAATAAAATAAATCAATATAAATGATGACAATGATGACAATGACTACTGAAGCATATATTTCCATATGCAACATGAAACCTCTTCAATGTTTTAAAAATATTTGTTAAATGATTAAAAAAATAAATTTTACATCTCACATGTAATGTATAGTATAAATTTTTCTATCAACCAGATAACAAAAAGATTACTGTTCTTTTTTCAATTTTCATCTGGAAGATGAAAAATGGGTTCTTATCTTAGATAATACAATATCTGACCATATAATGTTCCTGAGATGTTAAATTCTGCTGTTATGTATATCTCAATCCAGCAAAACCTCAAACAAACATGATTATCTTAACTTTCAACCTTTGTACCTTTGAGCCACAAGTCTAGAAATACAGTATGAGTCCCAATCTGTTTTTTAGATCTGAGGCATCAATGTTTTGGACCAGCTTTTTATTTCATAAAAAGGAAAAGCTTTACTAAAATATTATGTAATTCACATTTTTATAGATTCAACAGCCAACACACTGCAGTCTAGAAAGATGGATTTTAACAATTGCAGATAACAGATACAGATTTCCTTTAATTTATCTTAAAAGTGTGGGGAATAATTAAATAATTTAAGTCAACTCTTAATATACAATTATGGAAGAATGGAGAGCATGATTAAGTTACTACACAGATTAGTACATGGTTACAGAAACATGCATACATTTTGCATTACAAAAATCCACATTCAATCTAACAATATTTATACATAAATTAGTAACATTGGATAACATTTTTATTTTTGTTCTGCATTTGGTTAGTTATGAAAAAAGAACACAAACAACAACAAAAAACAAAGCCATATGCAAGGCAGTAATATCTTAGCTCCCATGCGTAGGAAATGACATAGGTTTCAAAATTTTACTACAAGTAAAATTTAACAACCACTTTGAATAGCAACCATTCACAAATACAATGGTAATGAATGCTTTCCACTCTGAGAATTTATGATAAAAAAAGCCTTTAATGTGAAACTGATTAAGCTCTGGTCAGTTTCATGCAGCAGCTATGAGGCCTGGAGACTTTTACTCAACTAATAAAGGTCACAGTGACCTTGTTAACTTGTAGTTAACACTTTTTAAGGAAATCCTACACTGAGAAGCAGCTCAGGAAGAAATACCTTATTTAAGCAATCTCTCCACCCTGCAGGAGGGCAAAAAAAAGGGAGGGATAAATCAAGCACAGGCCATTATGTGAGATAACTTTATCTAAATGAGACAGCAACAATCAGTGATCTTCACAGCATCTCTCTCTCAGAGAGGTGCTCACTTACCATAGCAATCACTTCACTTAATGACCAGGTTGTTGAACCAACTGCAGTCACTAAACAAGGTCTACCTGCAGTCTGTCCTCCAAGTTAAAATTTGCTTTTAAAGAAATGAAGACTGAAATTCTCAGAAAGATGCATTGGACCTCATCGATGGAATCACTGAAGACAGACTCTTAGTTATGAAATATCTGATATTGGATTAGGCAACAATTATCAGACATCCATGGTACAAAATCCTAAGACATGAAATATTATTAAATGAATACAATCTCTCTATTTTAGCATCTTACCCAAATGTTGTGAAAGGCATCTGTTATATTATTTGGGTCATATATAAGGCAATTTCCACCATAGTCTCTTTCAGGCAAAGGGACTCCTAAATTAGGATCAATAAATTTCATAAACTGTCTTCCATCATGTACAGTCTGCAAAATTAAATACATGTTCAAGAACATCAACATTTCTTTTAAAAAGTTATATTTGTTAAATTGGCAATACAAAAAAAATGTGCATATACATATATTTATTTATTTATTTATTTATTTATTTATTATTTTAATTTCTATACCGCCCTTCTCCCGCAGGACTCAGGGCGGTGCACAGCATATTAAAACAGATACACATATCAATAAAAATAAAAACCCCTCTAAAACCAAATTAAAACCAAATATTCGAAGCTGTGTTCGAATTAAAATTATACTTAAAATCGTCCCTAAATAAAATCCTCCTTAGGTCAGACCCGCTTGCTGGAAAAGCCATGTCTTGAGGGCGCGGCGGAAAGTAAGGAGATCCGGAATCATCCGGATCTCGGGGGGTAGTTCGTTCCAGGGGGTGGGGGCACCCACAGAGAAGGCCCTCCCCCTGGGGGTCGCCAGCCGACACTGTTTGGCCGACGGCACCCTGAGGAGACCCACTCTGTGGGAGCGTACCGGTCTATGGGAGGAAATTTGAGGCAGAAGGCGGTCTCGGAGGTAACCAGGTCCGATGCCATGGCTATCCCAAAAATATACATATATAATGGCTATCCAGACCCTAAAAAGAACTAAAGAAAGAAATTTAGGTATTTAGGAAAAAATCATATACAACATACCAAGTTTGAAACAGCCATATTTTGTGTGGAACTAGAAACAAGATATCACTACTCTGGATACTTGTCTTAGGCTTATTTAATTTGATTCTTTCAAACTACCCCATATTCCTGCAAATGGCTTGTTTAAAAAAAATCCAGATACAAAGAATTCAAGACTGCATTAGCCAATAAAACAACACATTGGTTCAATCTGTGCTTATACTGGCTAGGGCTATCTGAGAACAGATATACCTGAGGGACAATCAAATACCTAGATGTGCAAAAAAAAGTGCTGCATGTCAAATAATTACATTTAGAAAGTATTCAGACCCCCTTTACTTTTTTCAATTTTGTTATGTTGCTGCCTGATTCTACAGTTATTAACATTCATTTTTTCTCATTAAATTTACACTCAGTACCTCATAATGACAAAATGAAAACAAAATTTTAGAAATGTCTATAAATTTATTAAAAAGAAAAGATTGAAATAGCACATTGACATTCAGACCCTTCACTCAGTACTTTGTTGAAGCACCTTTGGCAGTGTTTACAGCCTCAAGTCTTTTGGGGTATGACGCGACAAGCTTTGCACATCTGGATTGGGAGATTTTCTGCCATGCTTCACTGTTGGGATGATATTGTGCAGGTGATCAACGGTGCCTGACATAATGTTTAGAATTGAGGCCAAACAGTTCAATCTTGGTTTGATCAGATCAGAGAATCTTGCTCCTCAGACTGGTGAGGAGCAAGATTCTCTGATCTGATCAAACCAAGATTGAACTGATGCTCAGAGAGCATCAAGGACCCCTCATGTCAACCTGAGCTACAAATATTCTACTTTATTAGATTGCCAAATATATGAGTGTACTTCACATAAGTATTAGGAAGAAAGTATAACTGAATAGCTGGAGAAGTATATTTTTGGAACTGTTCTGTGGATGACTGTTCCTTCTTTGTTGGGAAATGTTGTTTGGCTGGGGCACTTGTTGCAGAAAGTATGCTCAACTATTTTTTTCGTTATCTGAAAGGATGCTTGTAAAAAATAAAAAAAGCATTGTTTATTATATTTAAGATCAATGTAAAATTGTCTTTGCTTTGGATACCAAGTAGCATTCATCGTGAACTACCATACAATCTACTTTTGCAATTGTGGGATGAATTCTGGGATGAAAAAAGTAAGAGAATAAGATTATTCTGTTATTTATGAAAGATAATTTAGAATGTTTCAAATTTTATTCTTTTGGACCAAAGTTCATTCAGAACATACTATATTCCATGTTCTAAGAAGCCATTCTAAATATTTCATTTCAAACATTTTTCTGCTTCATGCATACTGTTAATGTCCATTTAGTTCTTATAATTTTTTTAAAATCAAAGTTTTATCAGTTTTCTACAAATTATGGCCATCCCTAAGAAAATATGCCTTTTGCTTTTCCAAACTTTCCAAGAATAATTGTTTTACTAAAAATTCACATTAGCTGTATCATAATTGAAATGACCCTCCCTGATCTTGTCTGGGGTTTGGTAATCATATGACAAATTAACTTGACCCATGACCCAGTGAAAAGTTATATGAACATTGCCATTGCTTCTGCTTAAAAAAGAAAGAGAAACTAGCCGTTATCCATTTGAGATTGATGTAATTTTTTCCTTCTGAGGATGAACTGAAACCTGGAAAAAGGGCTAAACATTTTCAGCAGAACAATTATCCTACTAGCTAAATGGTTTGTCCCAGTACAGAAAGCAAACCATCCTAAACTTTTCAAAGAAAGATGTAAGTTAAAAGTGTTACTTGAATGTTTACAAGCATGTCTAAAACAACGGAGTTAAAATAAAATTTTGATTTTTGCATTGCAAACAGAAATGACCATTTTATTTGTAGAAGATCCAGATTAAATCTGTGGAATCTTCAGTTACAGAAAGTTCAGTAGATATAAGAAAGACCTCAACCCAAGATCCTGCAGAGTTGCTGCCAAACAGATTAAATCAAACCCACTGCTGAGAATTCTGGGAGTTGAAATCCACAAGATGCTTAGGTTGGGGAAAGCTGCATTATATAATGTACTGTAATACTAGAAAGACAGTTTGGTGTAATGGTGAAGGTGCTGGCCTTGAAATCAGGAGATCGTGAGTTCTAAGCCCCCCTTGGCATGAAAACTGGCTGGGTAACTTTTGGGCCAGTCACTCTGTCACAGGGTTTTATTGTGGGGAAATAGGAGGAGAGAGTATTAGGTATGTTTACTGCCTTGCGTTAATCAAACTATATTAAAAGGGGGAGGGGGTATTATAACAACAATAGTCAGATAGACTATTGAAATGATGTTACTTATGCTTTCATGGTAAGAAGTGAAGCTGATGATTATACTCTCTACTTTTTTATCTTTAAGTTTTTCTTTAAAATACAAACTTTAAATTCCTTACCTGAAAAAGTATGAAAATGAGGAAAAGCTCATAGACAACACTGACGCATAGCCAAAACCTCCAGTAAGCTAGCAGAACAAATTAACAAAAAAGAAAAACGTAGACATATTATAGTTGGGCATAAGGCTAAACTAGTACATATAGAATCTTTAGGACTTTCAAAATGCTACGACAGATTTTATTAAGGAAATCTTGATAGGTAATATTAAAAAGGACAGTTTTCAAAATTTACATAAGATTACTTTATCAGTCTATTTTAATGCTATGAGCTACTTGGATTACCTGGATGGGGTCTTGAAAATGGACCATCTTTTGCTTGAGTGACTCCAAAACACAAAAAAACTAAAATGCTGGCTACAATACCTCTGGAAAACATTAAGAACAAAACAGTCCTCAGTATATTGTAACAATACTTGCAATTTATTAACATGTTGACTGTTCATGCAATATAAAATTAGGAGATACGATTATTAATTTTATCTTGGCTAGTGACTGGACTAAAATGGATGTTTTGTCTAGCAGGCTTGGCTCCTTAAATGAACCTTGATTAAGATCAGTTGGACTTGAAGAAAGCCTCACTGGACTAATTACTTTCTCATAGATATTTCTGGTGTCAATGAAATATAAATGATCTATAGATATTCTTAAACAATGACGTATGGACATAGATTATAAAACCATCTAAACCTCTTTTCCAGTGACATTAATTCTCAGAAATAGATTATCTTGCTATCTTGGAATTACCCTAGATATTGCAGAGGCCTCTCCTGGTTTCCCTTTAATATATGGTATTACCATCTGCCTTGGTAGATGTTGATGACTAGTTTATTAAGATTTCCTAAGAGGAAGTAGCATACACGTGAGTCAGTTGCAAAGAAAACAGCTAGCTACATCTTATTTATTAAGAATATTACAAAAACATGCAGAATAAGTAAGTTCAATTTTTTAAAGTAAAATATCTCAGGTTGTCCAAACAATTACTGTGTTGTCTTACTATAAACAGGCATCATACTTTACACATAAGACAGTCAAATTCTGTACAGCAGCATTTAAAGCCTGACATGGAAGCCAGCTGGGTGACTTTGGGCCAGTCACTGTCTCTCAGTCCAGCCCACCTTCCAGGGTTGTTGTTGTGGGGAAAATAAGAGAAGAAAGTGCGTTGGATATGTTCACCGTCTTGAGTTATTTGTAAAAATAATAAAGGCTGATACAAATAAATGAATGAATGAATGACCAGTGGGCTCTTTCCAATTTCTATATAATTAGTGAATTTGGTTACATGCAATCTTGATATAGTCAACATGTCAGTATTATTTTTGTTTTCTGTTTGTCTTAGACTTTACATTATGGATATTTTTGAACCATGAATTTGTTACTGAATGAATGAAATCTTTAAGGCAATCCAGTCTTGATGAAGTATCATGAACTTTGGTTACAACACTGACAAACCTTAGTTTGCAATGTTTTGTATCTAGCAGGGACTGGATTTGATAGCTACATAACCATTTTTCTATAATTCTATTTTTACAGAACTGACCAACTAGAACAAAATATTAAATGGTGGCAACATAGGAATTATTTTCAGCCTCAAAAATGAGTTTATAGACCTGGCCAAACAAGCATTCTTTCATCTCAACAACCCAGTTTAGACAAGGGAGAAAAAATCTTTCCATTAGTGCTATTATAACTTGGAAATCCTTGACAAACTAATGCAGATGACCAAGAAATCTACCAACAGACTCTGATCTATCTAGCTTCTGGCCATCATAATCTGACAAACTGCCAATTTAAAATATCTTTTAGAATGAAATCTTGAAGCCTGGACATAACCAATAAATCTAACCAATAAATTGTTCAATTTAACCAAATTAAAATATAACTCTTATTCTGTTAATTCCAAACTAATCCTGTTATACAAAGACGACATACCTTTTTAAAAAGGGGAGAAAGAGGGCCAACCTTACACGTTCAACTTAAGAGGGGATACTTCAAGTAATTATTCTGATGTTTTTTTATTTCTAGGCTAGCCATATCAGTAAGAAGGAAACTTTCTTAACGAGTTATTTGCAGAAATTCAGGAGTCTGATAACATCTTTTGCAACTATCACATTTTATTAAAAGTCATTTGCCTGCACAATTTGCACTCACTTCTTAAATACCTGGAGTGGCAATGCTGTCTGTCTTGCTTCCCATGATTTACTGATTAATTATATGCCATCAAGTTGTTTTCAGTTCTTAGCAACCACAAAAATATTCTCCATGACTTCTTTCCTTTACTCCAATTTAAATCCTGCACCTGTCTCAGCCTTTAGGAATGGACAGCATACAAATAAATAATCTAGCATGATATATGAATCCATCATTATAACAGCTTATCAGTAAGTTATATGATGAGTGTATGTGAGAATTTCTACTAACTTGAATTAGCTCTTGTGCAGATTATTATACAGAAACAGGGATCAAAAGACAGGGAAAGTTTATTAGGATTTTATTTAAGAAGTTTACTTGTGTCCCTCAGACTTTGTTCTCAAAAGAAGATAGTCGAGATGATGGGTGGAGAGGAGATAACTATTGAATTAAATCTACCAGACAGAACTCCCAAATACAAGTTTAGTTACTGAGCAGGAAAATGGACTAATTTCAATCGAGGCAAAGTAAATCACCAAGAACGGATATAAGTCACCTTTCCTGTTTTAAAATTACAGTTTCCTGAAAAAACACGTAGGCTGACTTGTTAGAACAGAAGCATTATTCAAACCCTAGATTAAGCAATCTAGAAGCTGGGGGGCAATGCTATTAGTACTGACCTATTTTTTTTAAGGATAGGAGGAGAACACACTAACATCTTTCTACAGTTGGGCAGCCTTAACAAATCTAACAAGCAAACAAAAAACATGGTGGTGGGGAAGAGCCCTTTATCTTAGAAAAAGGAATTTTGCCCTCCCTAGATTCAGGAAGATTTGTAATAAGATACTGCCAAATAGCAATAGTCCATTCTTCTCTTTGAAGCTGATGTCTCCCACATTAGGCTCAGGGATTAAGGAAGTAAAAAAGTAAATAAAGTCATTCTGACTGAAAAGCCACCAGGTGGATGACTTCAATTTAATAACAGAGAGAAAGCAAAGGCCTAAAGGCCTGGGGTCAAAGCAATCTGCTTCTCTACATGTATTTTCCTTATCCAAAGTTCAGCTGTAAAAACATGCAGAGGATCTCCTTCCTAATGTATCTTCTCCTCTGCCAAGCTAGAATGGGGGGAAGAAGAAGAAGGAGAAGGAGGAGGAGGAGGAGGAGGAGGAGGAGGAGGAGGAGAAGAAGAAGAAGAAGAAGAAGAAGAAGAAGAAGAAGAAGAAGAAGAAGAAGAAGAAGAAGAAGAAGAAGAAGAAGAAGAAGAAGAAGAAGAAGAAGAAGAAGAAGAAGAAGAAGAAGAAGATGATGATGATGATGATGATGATGATGATGGAAGGAACCTTGGAGATCTTCTAGTCCAATCCCCTGCTCAGGCAGGAAACCCTTAGTTCTCCTTAGTTCTAGGTTGCTTCTCTCTTTGATTAGTTTCCACCCATTGCTTCTTGTCCTGCCTTCAGGTGCTTTGGAGAATAGCTTGACTCCCTCTTCTTTGTGGCAACCTCTGAGATATTGGAACACTGCTGTCATGTCACCCCTAGTTCTCTGTGTTGAGACTTTTCTCCCACTGCCAACCTGAACTAGAAAGCTCTGCTCCTAGAATAGCCACATCTCCTTTTCTAGAGACTAGAAAGCAAGTGGCTGTTTTTTCATGTCAACCCATGGAAATATTAGTATTTTGATTTCCAAGAAGAGATCAGTATTGCCATCACAACTGCTGCATGAATAGGAATTGCCTCATACGACCTGCATGACACTTTTAAGGGCAAATGCTTTTTTAGGTTTATTTTTGTTTAGACATAAGAATATGAACCTCCTGGAAGATCTGCATTCAGTTTTCTATAAAATCAATATTCTATATCCAAGTTCCCCTCCCAAGGCATAGAGGATTTTCAGCCTCTCTCACAACTCCAACCAAAATGGCCATAGAAGTGTAGAGCTCAGTGACTGGATGACAGTAGTGGTGGCAAATTTACAGTTTAGTTGGTTATCACATATTTATGATCTAAGAAGTCAATACATTGCAGAATTCACATAATTTAAAGACATTAGGTTATCCTGATGGGTCTCAAATGCTAGTCTGTTGTCCCAGGACAAAGCTCTGTTTAAACAGCATATGGTACAGTATATAATGCTTCAAAAATGATCTTTTCTTGTGCCTCATTAGTATCTTCTAAGTAATAGGATTGAGCCAAATTTGCATTACAGATAGTCAGGAAACTTTTGAAGTTGCAACAGTGCTAAGTGACTTCCACTGTTCCTCGAAGATCCAGCTGTTGTAGTGCCCATGGTCACATGACTGTGATTCAAATGCTTGGCAACCAACTTGCACTTAGAATTGTTGGAGTGCCCAAGAATCATGTGATCGCCCCTTGCAAACTTTGCTTTTGTCTGCCTAAAATGTGGTTGTAACCCAACAACTATTTGTAGTTTGTTATAACAAAAGTGTCTGTGATTTAGAGATTGCAACATTGTTCACCTGAAAAAGGAAACAGACTTTCACAGCGTAATATCCAGATCAAAACATTAGCTAACAAGTTAGTCATGAATAATATTGTAACAGCTGATTATCTCTTGGTGGTTGTAATAAAAAAAATCTGAGATACAAAAATCACAATTTTTAAAAAACTAAAATCAATTAAAGGAAGATAAATGGAGGTATGTCACACATAGAAGGAAACACAACAATCAAAGGAAGAAGCAGCATACATCTAACAAACCCCTACTGCCCAATCTAACCCAACCAGAAGCAGCCCCATTAAAACTGAGCAATTGATTTCTCCCCCTAGATGGAAATACACAGATCCACAACCTCCCCCTCAAAGAAAATATGCAGACACCTAGCAAAGAAACAGCACCAAATATCCCTAAAAAGTCATATCAATAAACATATCTGAGATAAACAGAAAAGCATCTCAGACTGCACCCACCCACCCCCCAAAAAAGAAGAGCATCTTTGTTGCTCTTCTCTGTACTCTTTCTAGAGTCTCAACATCTTTTCTACATCGCGGTGACCAAAACTGGATGCAGTATTCCAAGTGTGGCCTTACCAAGGCATTGTAAAGTGGTATTAACACTTCACTTGATGTTGATTCTATCCCTCTGTTAATGCAGCCTAGCACTGTGTTGGCTTTTTTGGCAGCTGCAGCACACTGCTGGCTCATATTTAGGTGATTGTCCACTAGGATTCCGAGGTCCCTCTCACAGTTGCTACTATGACCAGGACGCGACAGATTACATCCCAGAATTCTGAAGAAGCTGGCAGATGTTATCTCAGAACCATTGCATCATATCTTTCAAAAATCCTGAAGCACCAGGGAAGTACCTGAGGACTGGAAAAGGGCTGATGTGGTTCACATCTTCAAGAAAGGGGAAAAAAAGACCCAGGAAACTACAGACTAATCAGTCTAACATCAATACCTGGGAAGATCCTGGAAAAGATAATCAAAAAACCGATCTGTGAACAACTAGAAGCAAACGAAGTAATAACTGGTAGCCAGCATGGGTTTGTTAAAAACAGATCATGCCAAACGAATCTTATTTCATTGTTTGATAAAGTGACCAAATTAGACCAGCAAAACGTGTGGATATAGTATACTTAGATTTCAGTGAGGCATTCGACAAGGTAGACCATAATCTACTGCTTGATAAACTAGAAAAAGGTGGAATAGACAACATCACCACCAGATGGATTTGTAGCTGGCTGATAAACCATACTCAACGAGTATCCTTAAGTTAATTAGTAGGTAAATATATTTGGTTACATTCCAAACTTTAGCATTAGGAATTAATTTTGTCCAACGATCATATTAGTTCTCATATATAAAACTTTTCCCACCCTATGATTCCTCAGCAAAACAATGCATATTTCAGGAGCCAAATGATTACTTGATAAACTATTATTATTTGCTGCATTCATATCCTGCCTTTTTTCAAGGAACTCAAAGCTACATACATGGCATTGTATCCTTTAAATTTACCTCCTTAAATAACAACCCTTGAGATAAATTAGGCTAAGAAACTGGTTAATCCAACATCACTCACTGAGTTTAATATTCTATCTTACTGCAAAACTAGTGACCGTTTTACAGATAATTCGTGTCACAGTAGGACAAGCAATAGGGCAAAAGTCATGTTCAGGTACATTAAACTCAGATATGGTAATTCAAACTAAGCTATGAAGTCTAATTGTTCTAGGTGCTAATGAGTCAGCCAGATATAAGATACCTATAAATATTTTAGTACACTTTTGCCTCCAGAATTACACTAATCAAAATTTAGCAATAATTCAGTTGGCAGGTTATTCCAATGAATTGCCACGTAAACTAGCAGATGAAAGTTCACTCTCAAAGTGTAGGTCTGCTTTATATAACTAATTTGTCACCTACTTAATATATATGTATTACCTTTCAACAAGGAGTTCATAAAATACTCTTCCACCTTTTCACAAATAATTATGGCCTTAATAGTTTAGTTTTATTCTAAGTATCACTGGGAGAAAAGAGCAGAGAAATTATTATACTAGACTGGTGTTCAACTGATGAAATAATTAATCTTTGTTTACATTCCATTTCAACTCTACAATGCCCTACTACTCACACTATCAGATTCACAAGAACCAGGATTTTTTTCAGTATGTTATACTCTGGCATTCAGTAGTTTTGAGCTTACAGAAAGAAGTCAGCTGTAGTCCAACATTTGATTTAACTGAAAGCAGTATACAGGTGGTCCTCAACGTATGACCTCATTTGAGCCCAGAATTTTGGTTGTAAGGCATTGTGATCATAAGGTAAGATAAGGTAGATAAGATAACCTTTATTGTCATTTTTTTTACTGTGGGCACAACGGCACACATCAAAAATGAAATTTAGATGCCCGCTCTCAAAGTGAAACACATATATGACACACACCTAAACATACTATATGTGACCAGACTTGATTTTACAACCATTTTTATGATAACTGTTAAGCAAGTCACCATAGTTATTAAGCAAATCATGTGGTTGTTAAGCTAATTAAGCGGCTGCAAGACTGAATCTGGTAAATGCGTATCTACTTGCCAAGCATCTGAAATGTGATCATAAGGCTGCCAGGGTGGTGTCATAATTTTGAGGACAGGTCAAAAGTAACTTTTTTTCAATTCTGCTACAACTTTGAATAGTTGTTAAGCAACTGCTCATAAGTTTAAGACTACATGTAGAATGAATCCTAATTTTGTATGAATACATTAATTTTCAAATCTAATTTAACAGAACATTTGCTTTAGGATATATTAAAAGATGCTATTTGAGTCCAATCTTTGTAAGTTCAATGAAACTTTATCAGATAGAGAAATATTAAGAAAGCATTTTTAACTTGGAAAGATTTTTTAGACTTATCAAATTATCTTGTGATTTAATAAACAGAAACCTCTTAAAAAGCAGGATTAATCAATATGCAACATTTAATATACATTTTTATCATGTACTATACATTAGTTTTCAAATGAGACTAGGAAATAACTACTAAATGGGCAACAGATCCAAATGCAGGTAGTCCTCAACTTATAACCACAATTGGGGTCAGAATTTCCATTACTAAGCAAGGCAGTGCACCTAATTTTACACCTTTTTGCCACGGTTGTTCAGTGAATCATTGCATTTGTTAAGTAAATCAGAAGGCTGTTACGCGAACCTGGTTTCTCCCATTCTCTTTACTTGTTGGAAGCAGGCTGGGATGGTCGCAAATTGTGATCACATGACCCTGGGACATTGCCACCCTCATAAATACATGCTGCTTGCCAAGAGCCCAATTTCTGATCACGTGACCGTGGAGATACTGTGATGACCATAAATACCAGACTTGGTGCTTTTTTCACTTGCCACTGTAACTTTGACTAACCGTTAAATGAATGGTTGTAAGTTGAAGACTATCTCAATCAAAGAACTGCAATTGAAAAACTGGTATCCCAAAGAACTACAATAGTTAATAAGTGGGCAACACTGCATTTGCTGCAGTATTCTGTAAAAGTTATTTACCTCTTTGTGTTATAGGTTGTGTCCTGTGGTGTTTCTTCAAGCAAGGTCACATAGCCCAGGGTGCAGGTAAGGATAAACAGGACTGTTAAAGTGTGAGCTTGCCTGTTGACAAGGGGAAAAAAAATCATTTTTTTCTGACACACTGTTTATAGTTGGCTTATTATTTTCACTAGCAGACATTAAAGTTTTAAGTATGTATATATGTTTATATATATCAGTGATGGCGAACCTTTTAAAGACCGAGTGCCCAAACTGCAACCCAAAACCCACTTATGCATCATTGGGTGCCGGGTGGGTGTGGACCATTGGGTGGGCATGGCTGCGGTGGTAACGGCAGACTGGGTGGGACTAAAAAGTTCAATCAATCCATTCCAACTTTGCAAGATCTTTTTTTTCCCGCAAGAAGTTGAAATTAATTGATTGAACCTTTTTTTTTTTTTTTTTGCACACGGCGGTGGAGGCCTAAAGCAAAAAGGTTTTATAAAACCCAGCTGAAGGCCTAGGACTGGGGCGATGGTGCGCGTGCCCACAGAGAGGGCTCTGAGTGCCACCTCTGGCACCCGTGCCATAGATTCGCCACCACTGGTATATACATATACACACAGTCCTAATGTAAAATATATTAATATAGCATTTAAAAGGCAAAGTACATACACACCCATAATATAAAATATATTAATATAGCATTTAAAAGGCAAAGTAACACAAATTCACTGGTTACATATGCAGGTTCAGAGGAGTCACCTATCAGTGTCTACAAAAAAGGATTTTTACACCTGTTTTGAAAGATCCTGAAGAAAATGGTAGTTTCCATGGGGAGAACTGTCCAGAGCTTGCAAGTACTGAAAAGGTTGTTATAGCAGTTAGCAATGTTGGTTATTTAAACTCACTTAATGAGACTAATCAAGCCTGCACAACAGCTGTAGTAGAAAAATCTATGATATGATAATCTCAAGCAAGGAAAAGAATAACATCACCTTAGGCTCACATGAGGAAATACCAGCAAATGCCTCAAAAATATTTTTTTGCTCACTATGTGCATTTGGGAGTTGCATATTTTACATAAGCTGAAGTTTAAAGAGGTCTTCAAAAGCAGTCAGTAAAATAGCAGCTGATCATTGAGATAAAAACTGGGGGAAAAAACCTATAGTAAAATCCTTCTGAACCAAAACATATTCAGAATCTGACAAGCTGATAAAAAAGATTGGGACAGTCATTCAAGCAGAATCAGAATATTCTCAAAGCCTTCAAAGGTGCAATTTTTTTCAAGAACAAAAGGACTTTTATATTTTTAGATTTTACTTTATCTTTTTATTGTTGTTTTTTTACAAAACATCTAACCAAACATGGTGAAATCATCTACATTCAGAGATGACTTATCTAACTTAAGAGGAATTAGAAAAGATTCTGTCTTCTCTCTTCATTAAGTAGTATTCAGCAATTTGGACAACTTTCCACCTAGTAAAACACTCAGGTTTACTGTCAATACTCAGTGCTTATAAATATCACTTTAAAACTGAGCCCATATTATAAAAAAAAAAAAGCCTCTTGAAGCTGTAACATCCAATCTAATTTTTGAATTTGCTTGCTTTTTGTACATCCCCTGCCTTTTACAATGAAAAGTTTTAGAAAACATAAATGCTTACGCCTTGCTTTTTTCATTTTAGCTGATCCCAATACATTCACTGTCCAACCACGAATGTTAAATTTCATAATGATAACTGAGAAAATGTTATCTGACAATCTCAGCTGATGGGAAATGGCTATTCATTCATTCCCAAAAAGCCAAACTTGAAAGAATAACAGAAGACCCGTGAGACAGCCAAGAGCCTCTCATAAAGCTTTAGAAATATGGTGGCAGCTTTAATTCACAATCTGTACTGGAAGATTATATGAATGGGCTATATGCATCAATATTTACCATATGAAAAATGGAAATTTATGCATTTGTAGAATACTTATTTAAAAGATTTATATTACACTGGTGCAATTTGGGCAAATGTGTTACATTCATAACTGCACTCCCCCTCATATCCTCCCCCACCTCTTCCCATCCCTAAGCTAAAGTTGCCTACTCTACTCAGCAACAAATAACTGGAGATGAATTAGACTCCACTCAGACTACCAGTGCTTCTGAAACCATTGTGTAGCCTGAGCACTGCCTCCCACTCCTCACTCACACCATCTTATCTACTCAATCCTCCCCCTAGCCACCCCATCCTCACCTGGTCTCTACAGAACTTCACATCCAATAGGCCTGATAAGCCAGGGCTCATTCCTGCCACTGCCTCTCAACCATGGGACAAAAGGCATAACCAGCCCCCTCCAGTCCCCCGCCAACAAAACAGTCCAAAACCTTCAATATCCTTGCTAGTCTAACTCATCCCTTCAGGCCATCAGCCACCACGATCAAATCAAAATAGTACATTCAACTCCTATATCCTACACAGAGGGAAGAAACTGCCAAGATTGTTGCAGACCATGTACCTGGCCAGTTGGCAGTTACAGGAGACGTTCGTTCTTCCTCAGGACAATTGCCGACTCTGGCTCCTACTGCCATCATCGACTGGGCCTCCAATCAACCAGGACTCCTACTCCCAAGGCCGTAGCCACAGCCATTTCAATACAGACCACACTTTAAGAAACACTGATGGCTTATGAGTTGCAATTCCTTGACAAAAATGTTGAAGACTCCAATATGAAATTGTTGACTAATCGATAATTTTATGTACTTAATGTTCAAATAAAATCATGTTTTCTTCTTCTACTGGAGGCATTACTTTACCTCTGGAAAATTGTATTTCTACTGTTCACTACAACTGCGAACAGTTATTGAGTTTAACTTTGTATTTATTTGAATATTATAGATGAAAAGTCTTAATGTATATATTCTATGAGTGATGATGGAAAATAGATTACGGCACCTGCATTAATATTATTGCCTATATCTACAAATTAAGCAAAAAAGGAAAAATGCTATGCATTCAAGTAAAAGCATAGACTTTCATTCCTGATATCTCATGACCGTACTTCAGAGAGGGGACAAAAGGAACAATCTTGCTCATATATAAATACAATATGAACAAAGCATTAGTTAGAAGACAGACCTTCTATTCCATTTTTAAGGACATTTAGATCAAATATTTACTTTTTTTCTTGAAATGGAAGATAGCATAATATTTATTAGATTGTATTTCATGGACTGGAGTTTATTTCAAATGCGTCTATTCTTAGCCTTTAAAGAGTTTCTCCTTTTTATTTCAAAAAACATTAATACCTACATATTTTCTAAAATTCACATGTGTAAATTATATAATCAATATATAAACTTGCTGGGTGCCTAGTTTCTTACAGGACTGCTTTCTCCAACCTGAATAAGCCCATCTATTATGTTGTTCCTAGGAGAAGCTTTTGGTCATACATCACTTCTGTGAAGTACTGTAAGGCAGCCGCCACCAACCATTTTGGCACCAGGGATCGGTTTTTCCACAGACTGGAGGACAGTTTTGGTTTTGCTCACTCGCCCACCACTCACCTCCAGCTGTGTGGGGCCGGTTCCTAACAGGACACAGAACGGTACCAGTCCGTGACCCGGAGGTTGGAGACCCTTGCTGTAAGGGGAACGGGGGCCAGGAGACACTGCTTCTCGGCTGCCACTCAGGTCTTGTGGGGTACAATTTCCTTAGAATTAAAGCTTATTCCATCTGTTCTAATGTTCTGGAAGCTATTGAATACTTTTTTTTCTGCAAAGCATTTGGTTGGATAGTTTGTTATCACCACATTTAATTTAATTATATTAATTTATTTTTTTAATATTATTTAATTTTGTTTTCCTATGATTTGTTTTATTTTTTTAATTATATTATTAAGTTACCCTTAGTCAGGTGCAAGGGACCAGAAATAACACAAGGAGTTGATCAGAGTGATACCTTTGTTGCTATTTGCCTATTTATAGGAATGTCACCAGACTAATAAATTTACCACAGGAACTACTAGATAAGCACTGCAAGTTTAGGGAGGATCTGCTTTCCATTAGTGATTCAAGGCTTACCAGTTTTTTCACTTCTCTCCTCACTTCAGCTCCAGATTCCACCATACCCTTGTATTGTTGCAACTTAGTTATTGGTTGCTTTAATTTATTTATATCTATCATAAATGCTTTAACTGAAATGATTGCTTCTATCAACTGTCTTGTAAACTGCTAAGGATCTGTAGTGATTTGCTAGTAAATAAACAGAATTAATTGCATCAGCTATAAAAATTAACAAAAATATAAGGGAGCTCTTGCTAGTTCATGGCAACCCTTACATATAAGTATTTTAATTACAATCTGCCTCCAGAAGCGGTGAATGCTCCAACACTGGAAGTTTTTAAGAAGAAACTGGACAGCCATTTGTCCAAAATGGTATAGGGTTTTCTGCCTGAGCAGGGGGTTGGACTAGATGACCTCCAAGGTCCCTTCCAACTTTATCATCATTATTATTATTATTATTATAAATCAATAAATTATTCCACTAAAGAACTCCAGTTTACTAGCATGAAGTAAATTAGATCTTTACCACTGTACTTGCTTTTTCCACTCTACTAAAAATGTAAGAACATCAATTTTTATTTTTAAATGTTCAGCCAAATATAAGAATAACTAAAAATAGGAACATCAAAAATAAGAGACACACATGGAAACTTATTTGAAATAGTACTTATCCTACAGGGGAAAAAATCCAACTGCAATACAATATACTGTACACTTATTTCCAAGATGAATAATTACAATATTATGAAGTGTTACAGAAAAAAAAAACAGTTCAGCAGAAGTTTATAAACTGAGCAGTATTGGAGGAACTGACAATTTTACCCACATTCTCCATTTAAAAGACAGCATAACCCAAAATGTCTATAAGATCCAGTTACTAGGTCACTATTTTTGTACAGCACAGTTTGTTCCTAATATACTCTCTAAAATGCTTCCTGGATCTATGATGAAAGATGGTGTTTCCTAATTTGTAGAGCACTGTGAATTCTCAGATACTAGGTTGGAATGCAACAACTTCTAAAAAGCTGCTAGCTGTGCTCTAAATCTGTTGCCTAGTATCAACATATCCCTCTTGCTGCCAAGATCACAAAGTTCAAATCATACAAAACCAGTTCACATTTTTCTCTTTGCCAACTTTTTTTTCTGCAGAGCCAGAGAACTGTGCAATATCAAACTCTTTTTTTAGCCTACAACTATTTTGTTTTCTTCTCTGATAGGTAGGTAAAGATAGGTGGGACAAACCACACAAGTTTCTGGCCTTCTAATTGGAGGAGGAATATTCTGAATGCAATCCATATAGCTAATGCCAAGTTTTGTGATTGCCATAGATTATTGTAAAATTCAAGCTTGCTTTTTATTTTTATTAAGGAGCTACAAGTGCAATTGTAAACACTATTTTTTGGAGATGGAGATGTCACTGTTATTTTTCTTATGAGCAACATGAATTTTAAAACATCAGCTAAAATAAAAGCTGTAAGGAAAAAATAGCAGATATTTACTATGGCCCACTCAGCTGTTATTATCTCATGTGTTCTTATCCACTTTCTTCAGGGATTATTTTAAAATAATAAAGTTCCTTTGTCAATCTTTTCTTTTGGTACAGTTCCATTTCTTTGCATGCTCCATCAGCAATAAGCATTCTACAAAATTCACTTCCTAATGCTACTAAAGTACAAAATGATTTTACAATCTTCTTCCATTGCTTACTAAAAATAGACAATTAATGTAGAAAATCTATACAAACTGGGTAAGAGCCAGATTAATATGAAAGAATTTAGAGAACTAATAGAAACTATTAAAAAGGGACAAAGAATATAAAAAGATATTTCCTTTTCCCTAACAATCCAGGAAAATATAGATAGCCCTTAATTTTTGACTGTAATGGAGTTGCCCATTGGATGGTCGTAAAGCGGGTCACCCACATGACCAACCTAATTTTATGACCTTTTTTGTGGTGGTTAGGAAGCAAATCACCACAGTTGTTAAGTGAACCCATTGTTCACTATGGGATGTTTTTGGTGAAAACTGGAAGTAAATGCCAGTTTTCGGCAAAAAATGTGGTAAACTGAGGGATCCTGCAAACAGCCATAAACGTGGGCTGATGGCCAAACGCCCAAAATGCAGTCATGTGACCACAGAGCAGAGGGCAGATATCAGAACTTTGCAACTAGTAGCATTGGGGGGGGGGGGAAGCATCGTAACTTTAAATAATCACAAAGTGACCATTCGTAAGTCAAGGAATACTAGTACCGTGTTTTCCCCAAAATAAGCCAGGATCTTTTATTTATTTTTAGTCCAAAAGACCCATTAGGGCTTATTTTGGTGGGATGTCTCATTTTTTCACAAGGCCCAGTCCAGCCAGCGCCCCGCCCCCCCAGGCGACTCAGATTTCCCTCAGTAAGGGAAGAAGGCTTTGGAAACTGCCTTTTCATTTACATTCATCCTCAATATTGTAATCCAACCCTTTATTTTTCAAACAAATGATTTGTATTTACCACGATTAGCGTCCTTGAATGCCAATGGGAAAGCACGGTATGAATTCTGTGCATGAGCTGCAGAAATACAGACACTCGCACCCTCAAAGCTCACAACACTTCCTCAGTCAGGGTGCACCACTGTTTTACAGGTGCGTTCAATTTTGTGGCTCAGCTAAACTCTTCAACTGCAGTAGGCCACAGTTCCCATCACCTTCAGATGATGGAAACCTTAAGCCAGGCTCCTCACAGCTGAAGCAATCCGGCTCGCTGTCGTGGGAGGTGTGGCCCATCCCCATCCTCCAGCTCCGTCGCACATGTGAGATGAGCCTCTCGCGATGGCCAACCTGACCCTGGGCGAGCAGGATTGCTTACAGAGAGGCTGCACGTTGCATGAGGATGACTGTAAAGGGCGGGCACAGATCCCTGCAGCTCCTGGAGGCTCTGAGCGCTGTTTTTGGTGCCGCTTGGTTTCTCACCCCACCCCACTCCCACCAGGCTGATCTGGTGGGCGGGACTGCCTTCCACCTTCCCCACCGCTGCATTGGCAGCTGATGTTGCCCTCCCAAGAGGCGGCACGGTGATTGGATGGCGGCCAAGCTATGAATGGGAATAGACCATCCCCCAAACCTCTCCACGTTGCACTGCTGATCCGAAGCGCCTCTGTAAACAGCAAGGCAGACGCGCAAATGGTGCCAAAAACAGCGGTGCCAAAAACAGTGCTCAGAGCCTCTAGTCTAGGAGCTGCAGGGATCTGCACGCACCCTTTGCAGTCATCCCCCTGCAACACGCAGCCTCTCCCTGTAAGCAATCCGGCTCACCCATGGTCAGGTTGGCCGTCACGGGAGGCTCGTCCCGCATGTGCGGCAGAGCTGGAGGACGGGGATGGGCCACACCTCCCATGACAGCCAACCTGACCCTGGGCGAGCCGGATTGCTTCAGCTGCAAGGAGTCTGGCCTAAGATTTCCATCACCCAGGCTTTCTGAAGGTGATAGGAACTGCAGTCCTCCGCAGCTGAAAAGTTTAGTTGAGCCACAAAATTGAACACACCTCTAAAGCAGTGGTGCACCCCAAGTGAGGAAGTGTTGTGACCTTTGAGGGTGCGAGTGTCTGTATTTCCACAAGTCATGTGCAGAATTCATACCGCGCATTTCCAATGGCATTCAAGGAGGCTAATCATGGTAAATAGAAATCATTTTTTTAAAAAAATAAAGGGACGGATTACAATATTGATGATGAATGTAAATGAAAAGGCAGTTTCCAAAGCCTTCCTCCCCCACTGAGGGAAATGTGAGGCACCTCCCTGAGTGGGACGTCTTAGGACACCCAGCTTTCTTTCCTACCCTTCCGCAGAGGAAGAGAAAAGTGGCAAAACCCGCGGGGCAGTGCAGGCCACCTGCAGAGGCTGCTTCGGGGTGAGGGTGAAAGAGAGAAGCTGATGGATGAGGCCCCGGCCAGTCCCCACCATCGCTTGCCTGCTGGATTCCCCAATCCAGGGCAGGGATAGAAACGAGGTAGCCTCTGCTTGTCTCAGTCCCCGGCTCTCTTAACATTCAGGCCATCTCACAGTGGTGGCACCAGAAACAGGCAAGGTGTGTGTGGGGGGGAAGGCACGCGATCTGGCCTGTCAAAAATTTTGAGGGACAGAGTGGGTGGGGTCTTAAGTAGGGCTTATTTTGGGGGTAGGGCTTATATTAGGCCCAACCTCAAAAATCAAGCTAGGTCTTATTTTCGGGGTAGGTTTTATTTTCGGGAAAACACGGTATTCTGAAAAAAGGCATGAATTTAAGCACAATCTTAAATACAGTTAAGGGATGCAGTCCAAGTGTCCCTTTATTGATGCAGATTAAATTGGCTCATTTTCCCAAGATTTTATTATATGTTGCAATATCCACTTATACACTGAACAGAAACAGAAAATTAACTGCAGAAAAAGACCTAGGTGATCCACTGAGTCTGCCTTTTGTGTTTATTTGTTTCTGTTTTTATTCATTCATTCATTATTTTTAATTAATTTCTATTTTGTTTTATTTTTTATTTTTGTCGGAGGCTAGACCTATGTTTATCCCAAGCATGTTTAAACTCAGTTACTGATGTTGATCCGCTATCTCAACTGGAAGTTGGTTTCAAGCTACTTTATTCCACTATCGGTACACAACTGATTTGTAATGATAGTCTTAACAGATTCAGGGGCAAGGTATTAGATAAAAAGAGGAGGCAAAATTGTGGAAATAGCCTAGAAAGCAATCTTGATCAGGTTTCCTGATTAAACTGATGACTTGGTCTTCAGCAGTGTTAAGTTCAATAACGATATCTATACATACTATATATCTTTTGGATCCATAACCTTTAACTGGGTGAAATTGTACATCATATGGCAACATTTTTTTCAACCAGGGTACCTCAAATGGGCTAACTTCCAAAATGCATACAAAATCTGGGACTCATGATTCCCATGGAACTGAAATTTGGCAAACTTTATAAAACTTCATAAAAATAATCATAAAGCATCTTACGACATAATACCAAATGTCGTAAAATATTTCTCGTGGTCAACTTCTGATGTTTGACTGTGCTATACAGTTCAGCATGGGCTACTTTCAAAGCAGATACGTCTCTGAATATCTCCCTGAATGTTTAAGGACTTTGAAGTACCTTAGAAGTTCTGCCATTGTTGAAGGCATTGGAGAAATATCTCTGAAAGGATGGCCCAATGGGGTCAGTGGTTGTCTATTTAGTAACTGCAAACTTATCCCAAAGATTCTTTTTCAAGAGGCAACTGGACTTTGCTTTTTTTTTTAAAGACATTTCACTTCTCATCCAAGAAGCTTCTTCGGCTCTGACTGGATGGTGGAGGAACAGAAGGATTTATACTCCTTGCAGACAGCTAGTCATGGAATGGAAAGTATAAGGCATATAAATCCTTCCATTCCCCAACCATCCAGTCAGAGCTGAAGAAGCTTCTTGGAAGAGAAACAAAACATCTTCAAAGAAAAACAAGGAAGTCCAGTTGCCTCTTGAAAAAGAATCTTTGGGATAACTATGACCTGGATGATTGAAAATCTCCAAAGACATTTAAGTGTAAATTAGTTGACATCTTTGCTAGCAAGTGACGAAAAATCACATCGGGAGACAGCAATAGCCATGGAGCCAGTCACCAGACAGCAGGAAAGGAGCAATTTGGAAAAGACTGTCCTGAAACCAAGTACGTGCTGTACCCTCCCTTTCAAAGGACACACATACACACGGTTATCAAAGATCAGCCCAGATTGAACTAGAATCAAGTACTAGCTCTAAATCCCTATGAAACCCTCGCCTCTGCTGCTGTCATCTTCAGAATAAGCGCCCCCCCCCAACCCTTCCCTCCAGATTCAGCCACCCTCGGAGCCCTTATTTTTTCTGCAGAAGGTCCAGATGCGTAAGTGCTCCATTCTGCTTGCAGAGCGACCCGGCGGTCAGGATAGGAGCCGTGGGCAGCACGGTCGCCCCCTCTCACCAGAAGAAGGTGTTGGTCCCGTCGTCGTACACCTCGGACTCAGTGCTGCGCCGGTCGCCATGTGTGACGACAGCGGCGTCGGGCGCTGCTGCAGCTGCCGCCGGCGGCGGATCCCCCCGCGGCCCCTCTTCGACCGGCAGAGAAGCGCAGTCGGGGGGCGGCGGCGGCGGCGGCTGCCCTTCCTCCAACGCGGCTTTGCCGGAGGCGCCTCCGTGACCCCTCCGCTCCCCGCGCCTCATCACGAGAGCGGCCGCGACTCGCGAGGCTTAAGCGATGCTCGGCGCGCGCCCCGCCGATCCCTCCGCGCGCCCCATGCGAGCTCCGAAGAACCAACACAACAGCTCCGTTAAAGCGCCTTTTCAGCACTCACTCGTGACCCCGAGTGGGACGAGGTTGAGGGGCGGGGACTAGCCGCGGAGGAGACGTGAGCGGCTAAGGCTGCAGGGCGCATGCGCGCACCAAACCTCTCTCGTTTCTCCTTCTCTCTCCTCTCTCTCTCTCTTCTTTTTCTCTTGGCTCGTCCGGCAAAGCTTTGGAGCCAGAGCGTTGGCAGCCCAGCTTCCAGCGTAGACAATAGATTGAAGTTCAATTGCAGCAAGCCAACTCGGGAAGGTTTATATGGAGAGATTGACGTCAGGATGGAGCATTTCTTAACGATTGGTTGGCGGACAACACATTTTTGGATGGTTTGTGTTAGGGCTTTGTTGGTGAATTCGGTACGGTTAGTTTGAGTTACGTGCGTTAAGTAAATCCAGATATAAAAGTGCAGGAAATGCATATACAGAGGAGTCTGTCTAAATCTGTATTATACCAATATACTAAAAAATTGCAGCTTAGTTGAATGAGGACAGGGAAAGGGGAGAGTATATTTTCCTGTCGTTGTAAGCACAGTAGCGTGGGAGCCAGCCTTTATAATAAATCCTATTGGTCCTCTGCCTAATTTAAAAAGCTCTCTGCAAATGACCACTTCAGGTTTTTGGAAAGAGCAATATACTTCCCCCCCCCTTATACAACACCCTTTGAGCTGAGGGAAGAAAGAGAAGTCTATTTCATTGAACTAGTAGTTGGGCAACGATAAAAACAAACAAAATGTTCCTGCAAAACTATTTTAGAATTAGAAGTTACAGTAGAAGAATTGCACTAATGAAGCTGAGGTCTCTCTGTGCCTTTCACTGCCTTGTAATAGGGAGAAATGTAGTTGGAGATGATTGTTTTAGCCTCTTTCTGAACTAAAACTGGTATATGTTTCAGTTTCTGTACACCTGCAATATATCCAGCACAGAGTACTGTGAAATCTTGAAGACCAACATATTTATTGTGGCATAGACTTGCCAAATATAGAGAACCCTATTTTTACTGGGTAGGTTATATGTAATATGTCCTGCTGTATAATTATGGCACCTTTCACACTCAACTGCTTATTTTCTAGCAAGATTAGACTGCTCGCCCACAGATACCTGTTACCATTTTTAGGATGTACTATAGGAATATTTGGTCAAAAATAAATCAATTTGAGCCCAATATAATTTATTTTTGACCAAATACTCATATGATTGCATTAGATCACATTAAATTCATTTGAGGGCTGCTGATGCCTAGTATTGAGTATAAAAGCACTTGTGGCTATTATAGTAATTTGTTTATTCTAATATATAATTCATTATAATTATTGTTTATTTTATTAACTTATCTTTACAGGTTTTGTATTTTGAGCTGTGGGTTGCCAGTTTTGTGAGAAATGTGATAAACAAATTCTACTTTAACACTGTTCAGATTTTAAGAAAATATTGTTAGGATGGCATTGTGTCATGTCCATGATTTGTGCATTTTGGCCAGTGTAAACGTGCATTGCTGGCTTACAGTTGGAAGACATTATCACTCCAATTAGGTTGCCTGTTTGTTCATGTATTATATTTTCTTTATTTTCACATACAGCTATGAGTTGCAGCACTGTGGTAGTTTAAAAATCAAATAAATAAAAATTAGTCAAGTCCAATCCCAGATCCATGCAATGGTAGTTGTCACTGCCTTCTTCCAAAACTTTTTGACTTCTCAGTCTGATGGTTTACAGCAGGGCTTTTCAACCTTTTCACCCATTGTACCACTTTTAGGATATGGCAATATCCGAGTACCACCAGTCGCCTAGCAATGTGTCAAAAACTTAATGACCAAAAAAAAAAAGGAAAAAAATGATAAAGTACAGGTAGTCCTTGACTTACAACAGTTCGCTTAGTGACTGTTCGAAGTTACAATGGCACTGAAAAAGTGCCCTCCAAGCCACAGCCGAGCAAGACGCCTGCCTGCCCAGTGGCGCTCTTCCTCCTGTCCAAGGTTTTCATTGTTGTGAGCATTTCTGTTGAGGGTTGGCAGCGGGGGTGGAGTGGGAGGTGTTTGGTTTTTATTCCCCCCGTCTGCTGGGTGGTTGCAGCAGGTTTTGGTCACTTCACATGACCCTGGGACACTGTGACCGTCATAAATATGAATCAGTTGCCAAGCATCTGAATGTAAATCACAAGACCCTGGAGATGCTGCAACATTCCAGCTGATCGGTGCTTCTTCTGGGCTCAGCAGAAGCGCCAGGATCAGTGCTGGAGCCTGGCACTGATCCTGGTGCTTCCGCTGAGCCCTGACAGCCCTGCAGCTCCAGCTATCTCTCACTCAGGCTTGTGCAATGCTGCCACCGGTTCAGCTCATTCCCTTCCCCCACTACCCCTTTTCTAGGATGGTCGCGTACCACCTGCCAGATGCCAATGTACCACAGATGGTACCCGTAGCACTGGTTGAAAAGCCCTGCACTAAAACAATAACAGAAGTTTACTTGTACAGTTCCAATGAAGGGGACATCACTACCTCCCTGGCTAACTTACTCATGGAACTACTCTTATTCTTCTGAACTTTTTTCCTGCCATTCCAGCAAAACATGCCTTACTTTAACTTAAATTCAATATTCCTCATACTGCCTAGTGGGGTGACAAAACTCTGTGACTTGCGATGTAACATAGTTTCACTATTTCATGAATAATGTTGCGTTCCTTTGTTATTTTCATCTCTAAACAGTTCCTCCAGTCTCTTTACAGGACTTGATTTCCCTTGTTCATCCTTGCTGCCTCTGTTCTGAATCTATTCCAGTTTCTCTGAGTCCTTAATGTATGCTCAGAACTGAATATAGGTATTCAAGAACAAAGTGGAACAATACGTTTTTGTGGTTTAGAAGCCATGTCTGGTGATGATATCCAAAACTTGCTGGTTTTGCAGATGTATTATTGGTTCATATTCAGTCAGAAATGAATTACTATGTGACTTGTTTTTCATAAGTTGTATTGTTAAGCCCTTTACTACCACTTCCATCACCACCACCCAATCCTGCTATGTCACAGGGAAAATGGTTGCCAAATGATTCTAACACATCATAAATACATTATGAGAATCAAATATGTTTTCAATAAACTTCATTGCCACTTTGAAGAAGCAGGATAGAAAGCAGATTGAAGTTTTTGAGTTTGGTGTTGGAGAAAACTTGAGAAAAACATGGATAACCAAGAAAACATAGAAAAAGAAAATCAATTCACAATTCTTGCTTAAGAGACAAATCACCAGTTTCAAATTCTGGACACATGCAAATATTTGATTAATGGGGGTATTAGATACATAGTTGGAAGAAGGGCCAAGTTGGGGACAAAATGATCTTAGAGAAGGTCTAGCTATGTGGTTGCTAATACTCCACACTGACAAAACAGCCACATAATCACTGCTAAGCCAAGTACCCCCTCATATCTTATATTTTTGCATAGAATACTTTCTAAGCAGAAAAAATAGCATTTTACCTCATTTAAAGCCCATTTCTCTGTCAAATTGAATTATATTTGAATTTTATTTACATCTTGTGAAATGTTAAGTATCCCGCTGAATTTGTACCCCACTACCCCACTTGAGTCAGTTTTAAATAAATAAAAGCATCAATGTTCAATTATGTTTACTTTTCTTCATATGTTGTGCTAAGCCATAATTTTATTAATCATATTTTGTTAAGTCACAGTGGTTAGGCTCATAAATAATGCTAAGCCTCAAAATGAGTTGCAGTGTATTCTGTCTTAGTACAGTGTGTAAAGTTAGCCATGTACTTAATTGTGAAGTTTGTTTTTGTTGGCTGCTCCATTAAGGTTTGAGGATGAGTTTTGTTTACGCATCCGCACAAATTGGTCCTCCCTTCCCAGGATCATTCCAGGATAAGCCAAAAGTTCTTGAAGTTCTGAAGGTACATTATTTTATAGGTAGTACTTCAAGTGCTATATCTTTGTTGGAAGGTTTAGATCAGCGGTCTCCAACCTTTCTGGCTTTGCAGACCGGTGGGGGGGAGGGGATGGGTCCACATGAGCAAGCGCACGTGTGTATGCAGTTCCATTTGCATGAGCAGCCAGCATATGTGCCTGCCGTTCACTCAAAATGGAGCTGCATGTGTCACAAATAGAACTGCACATTCACACAAATGGAGCTGTGGGCCATAGTGGGCTGCAACCGGGGGGTTGGGGACCCTTGGTTTAATCAGTTCAACTACTGTAAATTCCTCTTTTTTCTGCTTTTGTCCTGTATTTGATGACTGCAGATTATTTACATCTAGTTGACAATGTGCAGCGTTGACATCCGTTACTCAGACACATGACACTAGTCTTAGCAATGTAGACCTTGGTTTTATATTTTTTAGCAGTTTGCAAATAAATTTGAAGTGCCTGGCAAAATTCTGAACCTATCTATACAAGTAACAGGAGCATGTCACTAGACTTAATCAATGCTTGTGAAGCATTATTAAAGCTTTTTCCCTCCAGGTTGACTTCTTCAATTTGACCAATGCAGACAAGTATATAAGCTGGAAGGGGGGGAAAAATTCTACCCCTATTTCATAGGATAGTCATCTTAGAAAAAAACAGACTGGAAGATTTTCTAAGAGTTAGCTCTCTACATTAGCCTATAAATATTTAAGGTTACATGCACCACTTCATTTCACATTCTTATCAACTTGCATACCTAAATGCAAAGCCTGTTTGCCAGAACGGAAAGTCTTGCTTAATGTATCAAGGCAATCATTACTATCATTCTTGTGTTCCAAAAATCTATCTTGGGAATATATTGCAGATGCACTAAGGATGCATTGTTGTTTTTATATTTACCTTGTTCATCCATTCTGAAATTATAGAATTCACAGTTCCAAAGATATATAGTACTATATAAAAAAGTTAATATA